CCCCCCCCCCAGGATTGATTAATATCATTGACACAGCTCCCTCTACAGGTCATTAGGCATGTGAGTACAGCACAAGAAACCTGATTCATCCGTCAGGGTAAAAAATGCCTGGGATGAGGGGCCCTCCCCCCCGACGGCCATACCCTGTATACTGCCCCCCCCACCTGACACAGAAAGAGGGCGCCGAGCAGCTGGATGGACGGACGAACGAATGAATGAACGAGGACAGACGGAGAGAGTGCGCTCAGACTTAGGGGACAAAGGAGCGGGATCTTTTCTCCAGAGACCCTAAAGGCCTGACGTCATATAGGAGCGAGAAGAACCGGCATCCTCACTTTGACAAAATGGTGTCACCCAGAGATCAAAGGTCACCTGGGTGACATTAATATTCAAACGCTACCTGCTGAGGAATTGCAATCTCCAGGGGAAGCACAGTGAACTGACACTGTAAATTTCACCTTAACTTACAGCTGCAAGCTCCTTCAAATCTGTCTTCACATCGTTGGGAACAATGTGTACAGAAAATTACTCCAATATTCTGCACAGCGTGGCTTTTAAAATTTCATGCTGCTTGGAAGCAGAAATACCACACTAATCATTCCAGGATTATGTAAATATAGACTAATATTACACACTCAAATTTCCTATATTCTAAGTGCATATTTCAGTAGCTCTGTCCATGTACTTTCTATGCAGCAAAGGAAAGCGTGTTCTGACAACGTGTTCAGTAAGAGTGTTCAGGCAGAGTTTGTGTGTTCTTCACAAACATTCCCCGTCAAGTATCAAACGCATGCCTGATTTTTACATTCATCAGCACAGCACAGACACCACAGGGACAGCGCCTGCGTTTCACACCCTACACTCAACCTTCACAAGCAAAGGCATTTCATTTTCTTACTAAGAAATAAATGCAACATTTATGACATAAATACCACTTTATTGCAAAAAACTGCGTGCAGATAAAGGCACATGATCAATGGCTCTTGGGATTATGGACTAGGTTGATGCTGGACTAGGATTATGGACTAGGCCAAGGACACAGAATCATCATCATAATTACAATTATGAACATGACCTATTCTTTTTCAATAGAAGATTCTGAAACATTCCAGTCCTCTTCCGTAGCTCAGCCTAGCTCCTGATGGTGATTCTGTAACCACACTTGGGCCCCAGGATCTACAAGGGCCACCAAGACAGAGCGTGCATCACCATACCCTCTGCTGGATCCATACAAACAGGCCAAAAGCACATAGCCTCACGAAACATGGAGATCAGCCCCTTAACTGGCCATTCTGCCATTTTCCCCAAGGTTCTAAAGACCCTTCCAGCTTACTGTGATCAGTCATTCAGGGCTGGGGGGCTTGAACATGTTCAGCCTTGGCTGCAGCAGCATGAGCTTTCACCTTGACCTTTGTTTTTGGGGCCCCAGTCATTTCAAAGTCATTTTGAGGACCTCTGTCACATATTTAAAAAACTAAAAAACTGAAAGTCAAAGGGTGGTAGATAACTAGCTGGTTTGCAGAACAGGCTGCTTCGGCCTCTCGTAAATAAGGAACTTGTTCATTTTATATTTAGTATAATGTTTCTGGCCAACAGGGGCCTGACGCAAATGTGTGACTTGAGTGCTGAGTACAAGAACAATTTTTCAAGTGAGTCTCCAATAAAAACATTAACAATATAAATAAATCCAGAGTATGACACTGCGATTGGCCAGACTGTGCTTAAATTCGACACGCCTCAGCGTTTCACATCATAGAAAAGGAAACGGACCGAGAAAAGCACCGTGCGGCACAGCCAATCAACATCCAGAGCTGGGAGTAATGGAGCAACCAGTCCGCCTACTTACTATCGGCCTACCGCTCTGGAAAGCATCCACTTAGAACAGAGCAAGCGGCCATATCCCCCAGCGGGGAAATGAGCAGAGAGACGCCTGACAGCCGCAGGCGTCGGCCACTAGGGGCACCATCAACCAGAGCCGCATTCTCTCGCAGGCTCCAGATTAAGGTCACACTTCTGAAAGCTTGTTTAAGTGCAAAGACGGACTGGAAAATCAGCCTGAAATGTGATTTATCAGTATGTCTGGGAACCTGTGGAACTGGCGTGGCGTTGGGCGATGTGCAGGGAGGTGTGGGACTTTCATCGGCTGTGCGTGATTCAATTAAGCGTCCGACGGGAGATGGAAGGAGGCAGGGGACAGATAAGGAAATGGAGGCACATATCTGCTGCTCATCTGCCCTTCCAGAGTCTTCTCTTGTCTAGGGGTGCTCAGGATTCCTGAGTGTCATCTGCTCCGGGGCGGAGATACAGATCTGACGCTTCACTCTGGTGCCGGCCTTTGGGTCGGCGTCTTCTTCACAGAAAATGCTAGAAACATTTCTGTGTGTAACCTGAACATCACAATATCAGCGGCGTATGGGGGAGAGATGGAAGAGAGACGGGGCATGTATGCTCAAGGATGCTGACAGGGCCTCTGTGGTTCCTCATGAAGAAAATCTCACGAAAACAGCGAATTCCATCAGTCATTCATTAAGGGAGCATTTCAGTCACCGGCAGATGATGCAGAACGCAGCGATACCCCCACCCCTGTTCCCCCCTAGGCTGTGTAATTCTGTATAACAGCTCGAGCACGCCTGACAGATGGGCGGAGCATGAAGGATTGTCAGAAAAGCAGAGGAGTATGGGACACAGAAAGGTATCATTCCATCATAGAAGCGTGGCACGTGTCCAGTGGCCGGGATAAAGCAGCAAGTGGCTCTCCAAGACCGGCCCAGCACAGACCGCCCGTAATGCACCTAGAAGACGGTATCTTACGGCACATAATTAGCCCAAAGTCAGCTGGGCAATTAATAAAGTTAAAGTAAAGAAGGAACAGCTACACAGAGTCATGAAATGCACAACCAAGTCATGGAGGTAGACGACAACCATCGCGAACTGAGAAAACCAAAGTTACGATATTTTTCAAACAAAAGACAAACTGCGGAGAGAGTCGACCACTATTCATTCCTCTCCGCTGTGCATCCATCGGGGGAGATGTGAACCCCCCCCAGGAAGACCATCTCCAAGCGGAGAGTAGGCAGTCATTTTGACACCGGTGGTTTGTTCCGTCTGTGACGAGAACTCCAGCAAATAAAATGAGTCTGCATGCAGGAGGGTAATTGCACACGTATAACCCCATCAATTAATCTCTTTATTAAATTACTTTGACATTTTAAAAATCATCTTCATTAGTTAATGCATTCTGATGATGGTTTTGTCAAAACACGTCAAGCCAACTTTAAAATGATTTCATTTAAGTTAAGGTAATATCTAATAAGGGCCCATTTCACACTGCGTGGGACGGCCAGCACATTAGCGTTGAGGTCGTGCCGGTGGCCGTTTCCTTGCCAATGTCGACTCCTGGCACCACAACCAAACAGCCAATGGCTGAGCCTGGGGGGAGGGGCCACACTTTACCTGTGTAGCCATGGATGCAGAGACAAGTGTAGCTCCGTGGTGCCCCCTGTTGGCTGCTATCCACACAGAAGGCCCCGTTCTGGCACCGGTCAGGGTACATGTGGCAGGTGCTCTCCATGTGCTGACAGAACTCGCCTGTCCAGCCCGGGGCACAGAGGCACTATTGGGGGGAAGTAAAAAAAAAAAAAAAAATCCTTTGTTACCATGGTGACCAAGCCAGTACCACCCCAGAGCGATGAGAACTGTCTCAGACTTGCACTTTGTCTATATCCAACGTCAAATTACAGCCCCTCATTTACCTTGCAGGGCTCTGACCGGGGTCTGTATCAGATCTAAGCGACGGCACGGCGCCCCCCATTGGCCGGCAGCAGACAGGGACTTTGTGCTGCCCTATTCTGTGCGCTTCGGGAATAAATCCTCTGCTGACAATTTGGCCTATTCTGCGGTATTTTGCTCATATAATCACACCCAGCTCAAGGTCACACCTAAAAGCAGTTCAGGATAAGGTTCGGATGGATGGATGGATGGATGGATGGTTGGATGGATGGATGGATGGATTTATAGTGGACCCTCATCAAGGAGAATGACCTTCCAGCATGGTGAAACACTGAGGTGAAGATGAGAGATGCAGTCTTCATATCCATCAGTGTTCAGACTGGGCCGGTAGTGATGAATAAACTCCCACCCTGTAGAGCTGCCCCTCCCCCCCGCTCCAATTAGCTGCTCGCTCTGACTGACGGACAGCGACATCCCCCAGGGCCATGCAGGAGTGCCGCCCTTCAGGTCCTGTGCCTCTCTCTTCCCGTCGTGACTCATTTGACGATCCCAGACAATTATCTTGCTCCATGACGGAATGTTAAAACAAAGCAGGGCCCTCCGCTGTCTCCCAGGCTTTGAGCCGCTGCCGACGGGACTCCAGTATGTTCTAACGCCCTGAAGGGTCATTTGGCCGTCAGAACACCAAGTAAAATGACTGCAGCCCCCCGGCCCAATCCCACAGACACGCTGACACTTGACTGATGTACAATTTATAAAATCTGTGGAGGCCGACGTTAACATGGCTGCATCTAAGAGACGAGGTGCCCTGGTCTGATCGGGCTCCAGTAGGCCATGGTGGAGATTAAACACTCCACACAAATGAAATATCAGCCTGGACACAATAGCTACTTATTTGGAAAACAATTAGGGGCTCAGAGAAAAGCAGCTTAGCAGTAAACAGATTTGAAATCGAGGCATGGATATCGGAAATTAAACGGGGACTTTTGTGTGTGTGTGTGGGGGGGATATATACTGTATTATCTGGCGACTCTGCTGACAGGTTCCACATCGGTGTAGCGCGTGCCTGGTTACTTCCGGTCACTCCCAGTAACACCCGGTCACACCCAGTAACGCCCGGTCACTCTCAGTAACACCCAGTAACGCCCGGTCACTCCCAGTAACACCCGGTCACTCACAGTGACGCCTGGTCGCTCCCAGTTGTTCTTGGTATTCCATGTTATGCCTGATCACTCCCAGTTACATCCCAGTTCACCCAGTTATGCCCCATTTCACCCAGTTACGTCTCAGTACTCCCAGTTACGCTCTGGTACTCTCAGGTACATCCTGTTACTCCCAGGCACACCCAGTTGCGTCCCCTAACTCCCATTTAAATCCTGGTACTCCCAGTTACATCCAGTTACATCCAGTTACTCCCAGTCACACTTCAGTACTCTCATTTACGTCCTGTTGCTCCCAGTTACATCCTATTACTCACAGATACTCACATGATACCCGCCAATAATGCTCAGGCACAGCCCCTCATTCAGGCAGTCGATTCCCAGCATGCCACAGTAGTCTGTCACTTCCTCGCAGTCCCGGCCGGTGAATCCTTGACGGCATCTGGAAAAAACACAATCATGACCCGGGGAGGGGGGGCATCTCAGCGAGGAGGTTTGCCAAGAAATCGCCAAAAATCCATCGTCACCAGAAACCAACCTTCCATTTCGCAGTCAATCATGACACATCCCCAGTGATGGCCACCAAATACCGGATTCATGACACATCCCCAGTGATGGCCACCAAATACCGGATTCATGACACATCCCCAGTGATGGCCACCAAATACCGGATTCATGACAATCAGCCTGGCGTGATTTTATCGCTCCTCTCACACAGATTTTTCATTCGGGCCATTCGGCCTGCTCCATTTTACTGCGGGGGACTTAGGGATTTCGTCGACTGGAATTAGGAAATAATCTTTGCGGAGGCAAGGGGGGGGGGGGGGGGGGGGGGTTGGGAGGGGGGGGATTACAGGTAAAGCCCACATCATCACTTCCTTTAACGGACCTCCTTCAACGTGGCTTGCTGCGGGTCTCTGCTTCACACATAAACTGAGAGGGGGGGGGGGGGGGGCGAGGGGGGGATTCCCGCTGTGTTTGAAATGAAATGCACAAAGCGGCGCTGCCAATGTCTCGTCAGACTGCTAGAGTAATACAGTCCTTAATTACAGGAGATAGAGTCAGAGTCAGGTAGCGTTACAGTTACATTTACCCCAGTCTGCATGGTGGCGTGAGGCTCGGAGGGCTGGGGCACTGAGCCTGTGATCGGAAGGTCACAGAATCACATCCCAGGGTCGGCAGAATGATGTCGCCGTCGGGCCCGTGAGCCAGGCCCCTGAGCGAGGCCCTCAACCCCCAGCTGCTCCAGGGGCTGGCTGACTCTACTTTCTCGATTGTACGTTGCTTTGGATAAATAAATGTCATGGAATCACGTTTGCGTGGTGGTGTGCAGTTTCTCGGGAGCTGGGGGGCGTCAGTACCGAGGAAAGGCTCCTATCAAAGCTGCCGGCAGACCTCAGGTTCGAAAAGGGGGCGCGGGGTGGGGGAGACGGCAGATTCGCGTCACCTGCAGCGGTACTGCTCCCCCGATGGCGTGCAGCTGCCGTTGTTGAGACACGGGTTCGAGCTGCACGGGTTGGGCTCCTTGGCACATGCAAAGCTCTGGACGGGCACAGAACAGCGCAATCGTCAGCAAAGGCTCATGGGAAACAGGGTCATTCCACCTGTCGGGGCGATTCACTGGAATAGGCTGGAATATTCGAAGGACAGCATCTTATTAATAGCAGAGATGTGTCTCAGAATGAGAAGGTGCGCGATTGGGCATCAAGCGAGACCAGCTCTGTTCCATTCAGGGAAACATCTAGAAAGATACGCTAATCAACACCTCAGTGAAACAGCCCTGTCTCCACTCATCTTCTGTGCGAGAACAGGAAAATGGAGCGAGCGAGAGAGAGGAGGTATGAAAACGACAAGCTGTCCTTGGAGAGAAGGAACATTACCAAGGTAACCTTTGACATTGAAGGGGATTCGGAAATAATCCAGGTGTTTATGCATTTAAAGACCCCCCCCCCCCATTTTCATATATACCAGTAGAATACTCACTGCAGTCGTTTGTCTGTGAAGAGGCATGAAAAATAAGACCTTTCACATCCATAAACATCAGCAGCTGAGCAGATGGTGCGCGGGTCAGTGGACAGGGCGGCAACATTACACTCAAGGTCACACACATGCCCCGCCCCCTGACCATGTGACACAGTGAGCTGGGGGGGGGGGGGGGGGGGGGGGGCACGGGATCCTACCAGCTGTCTCAGGCCCCTCCCTACCCCCAGTCGGAGCCGTTTGAGTAACTGTTATTATAAGTTTAGAAAGTACACCCCTTGGTTTGCTCCAGAGACAGCGGATTCATTCTTAAGTGACATTTTATATTAATTATTTCCTCTCTGGCAAAATTAGATGTGGAGGAGGGTTGAAGTGTCCTTACATTGTTGGAGGTGTTACATGCCCGCGTGTGGGGGCTGTCGTGCATCACGAGCTCGCTGTCGCAGTCGGGTCCCGGGAAGCCTTCAGCACACACACACACGTGTCCCGTGGCCGTCTCCACGCACATACCGCTGTTTTTACATAGGGATGAGTCACAAGAGGACACCTTTCTTTCACAGAAAAGCCCTGAAATGACACAAACCAGAGCAACGTCATTGACCGACACATGGAATGAGACCAAACAGAGCAATGTCATTGGCCGGTATGTGAGAAGAGACGGAACAGCACAACGTTATTGGCCGGTATGTGAGAAGAGACGGAACAGCACAACGTTATTGGCCCATATGTGAAATGAGACCTAATAGCACAACGTTATTGGCTGGTATGTGAGAAGAGACGGAACACCACAACGTTATTGGCCAGTATGTGACAAGAGACGGAACAGCACAACGTTATTGGCCCATATGTGAAATGAGACCTAATAGCACAACGATATTGGCCGGTATGTGAAATGAGACCTAACAGCAAAACGTTACTGGCCAGTATGTGAAATGAGACCTAACAGCAAAACGTTATTGGCCGGTATGTGAAATGAGACCTAACAGCAAATTGTTATTGGCCGGTATGTGAGAAGAGACGGAACAGCACAACGTTATTGGCCCGTATGTGAAATGATAAAGTCCACAGCAGAAAAATCAGGAGACATGGCAGCGTTATCAGAGTGACACCCACCAAGCTGCAGTACGCTACTGTATCACACGCAGCACAGGGAAATCAAAGCATAGAGTGTGTGTGCACACGCGTGTGCAGCGTTCCCAGCTGAAAACCACTTTCATCTGTGCAACTCACTGCAACTCTTTCAAACCGGCAAGAAAACCTTTCATCTCAGTATAAGGGCAGCAATGGTGCTTGGTGCCATTACTGCTGTTGCATTTGTGTTAATTAAAGGAGAAACCGTCTCTCCTGTGATTATGATGTTCAGATGAGAAGCTAATACACATTCTGAATGTTTAGGACTGTTTACCAAAACAGCAACAGGACGAGCTTCTTGGATAACAGCGAAGTCACATGCCTGAATTTAAAAGCACATGTTACACGCATGTGGCCCTGCCGACAAATCAAAGACCCCGGATGTGAGCGTGAGTCGGAGCATCTGCGCCCCCATGAGGCCACCGTCCACGTCCGACGCCCCCACGGCCCTGATTGTTGTCACCTGCCATGTCCGTCACGTTGTCACGTCTTGGGCTCCCGCTAATGCACGTGTAACTCGCACCCTCTCCCGTTTCCGCCTTTCGCATCCGAATCTCCCGGCTACTACGGGAACATTCCAACGAACACGACATATCAGTTAATACATTATTTAACCGCGGTGAAACAAGGTCTAATGGCAGGCAGCCAGCGTGGCTCAATATCATAATGGATTCGGAGGCGCTGGGTGAAAATGGAAATGATGGAGACTTCAGAATGCAGAGGCATCTTCTGCATTACAATGTCGCTCAAGCACCAGGATGGCGAATTAAAACACGGCCAAAGCATTTCTCTGACTTAACAATGAGAGGCGTAAGGATGCACCAAGCGGCGGGGGATGGTTCTGAAGGACGAGACCTAGATTCACGTGATGATGGAGATGTCTGCATGCTGCTTCTGCTATGACATCGTAAATATTACGTTCTTTGAGATCTGTGAGGATGACCTAGTTGGAGAGACTGCTTGTCTATAACCGAATCCTTCCGCTGTTCATAACTTCCATTTATGGCTTTAAGAACAGCTCAGGGTTCACAAAAGTCACACTATGGAAGCCAATCATTCCAGGGTAGGACCAACACCTCCACGGGGAACCTTCCGGTCAAAAGGTCCCCGCTCTTCTCAAACGGAGTCACGACACGACCGTTGATGCCAAGCTCTGCCTCACATTCCAGGAACTTTGTCAAAACGTAACGCACCGGTCCACTATCCCCTCGCTGGCTTGCTTGTTCGAGATCGTCTTGTCACGGGTTAATTTTAGACCGAGGGGACGCCAGGTTCAAGGTGAACGCGGTTTGATTTAATTCCCCCGGCGAGCCATTTGCATTTCTGCACTCCTCATAGACCAGGGACCCATTTATCTTTCCCATGGGCAGGAAGTCTTTGTTAGCATATTCCGACACGCTAATCCCCAGACGGTGTCGCCTCCCCTGGTCCCTCGGGGGCCCCTTCGGCGACCGTTAAGGGCCCACAGTCCTCCCAAAGACAGTCCTCCCCCTGCTTTCCCTTCACAAGCCCATCTGCACCTTCACTTTACAGGTTTACACGGCTCTCCTTTGCCGAAACGCCGTATGACTCGCCGGCATTTCTACCGGCCCAGCCAGCATTCTACGATATGACAGGTGCTTTTGAGGAGGACTGCGCTTATCTGTCCCGCACGCCTGCTCCTTCATCCGCGCTCCTCGGTGGAAATGGCAGCGCGGCCGGTTCATGTAAACACTGGCGTGGCAACGTGCCGCTTTGCCCAGGATCGAGCGGAGGCCCTTTGTGAAAGGTGCTGATTCGGAAAACTCAGGTAAGCGCTTAATAAAGTTGGCTGCACTGGCGGGAGAAGCCTTTGAGCGCAACAAAGTGCAGCGGCGGCGAATCCTCCTGCGTTGCGTGATATCATGTGTGAAGAAGCACTTTCAACACTAAAGCCATTTTCAGGATCAAAACAAAAAGGCGTGCAGTCAAACCTTCGGCTGTGCATGGATTAAATGGGCAAAATCCTGCAAAACAAGAAGCCAGATGCACACGTCATGGCACGGGGAAAAGAAGCTCCTGAAGTTTCCTTTCTGTGTCGACAGCAAGCGAAGCGACGAGGTCGTACACGTCAGACACGAGGCACAGTGTAAAGCGCACCGTTCTGCAACTGCCACATTCAGCGACAGAAAGGCTGGAATGTACAAAACAGAACTGGCACACAACCCTGCGCAACAGAGACCAGGAACTGGTGCGGCAAGAGGCCAGGAAGAGGCGCGGCTTTTAATGAGGGGCACCCCGAGCTGCAGGAAAGAAAAGAGCAAATCCGATTGGAAGAGCCCCAGAGGCCCCTGGCATTATTCTGCGAGGCTGGGTTCGGGCCTCGCCACGGCAGCCCCCGCGCCGAGCGGCCGGCCTGCTTCAGAGTGATAAATGAGGGGCCGGCCGGTGCCGCGGGGGCCAGGGGAGGCACAGAGCCGCGGAGGTGAGCGTGGGACGGGACGCTCATTATGACGCGGTGACCTTCACTGAGGACGCCAAGCTCACCGTCCTCCGGGCCCGTCTGGCACGTCTCGTTCCCGTGGTTACATCGTACCGGCCGATAAAACGTTTCCCCGAGTTTCTGGATGCATGCCCAGCGACAGACTGCCATCCCATCCAGGGCAAACCCCAGCCTCGGACCCAGGGATCGGCAACCAGCCCATACATGGACAAACGCGGCCATGGCGAGACTCATCTGTGTCCGCAGTAAAAAAGTAAGCAGGGCCACATTTTTTTATACCGCGTCTGTGGTAAAAACCACGTTTTCGTCCCAATGTGAATCAGAGCCAGCTGTGCCGTTGAGCCCTTCTCCTACCGTATGCTGTGTGGAATAGGCTCCAAGCACAACCCCAAGTAAGGGAGGATGGATGGATGGATGGATTTTTATTGAAATCCACTATTTCATACTTTATGTCGAAGGCGAACAGCTGCACAGTTTAAAAGCAGTAATAATTTCTCCTGGCCAGACATACAAAGAACAAGCTGTCTAAGCACTTACATTATTGATATGCCAGAATGCACCCTGTGGGTCATTAATAGCAATTAAAAGTTCTTAATAGGGTTGAAGAGTGGTAAATTGTGCTGCCTCTGGTTTGTGCGTGACAGTGCTGGCGAATGCACCCGCTGCTGGCTTCCCCGAGTGCTGCACGTCAGCGATCTGATGCCAGAAGCAGAGGATGCAACGTGGCTTATGTTCCTGTGGCCCAACAAGTATAGCATCGCTCTAAAAACACAAAGGTTGTGGGTTTGAATCCCGGGGAGCAAACGTAAACTGCAACCCTTCCCTCAACTGTAAACTGCTATGGACAATAGCGTCTGAAAAATGAGTCAAGCATTTACCTGTAAATCCAAGGTCACACATGCACCGGATGGAGTTTGGTGCGACACTTTCACATCTGCCATTGACACACCTTTCATTACAGAGATGGGTCACTTTAGAGCAGTTCATTCCTAAGAAAAACAGACATTTGTAGAACAAATGAATTAGCCAGTAAACACTACAGAATTTTCATAAATATGAACGGGCCCTAGAAAGCACAGCTCAGGAAACACAAAACCTGAGGAGAAGAAGGAACAAGGATTATTTGAACTAAATGAAACATACTTTTCACTTCAGGGGTCACCTTCTGGGGCGGGGCCACAAAAGGCTCTGGGCCCAGCTGAAAGCTGATTGGCTCCCTGAGTGCCCCCTCTCCTCTCACTGGCTGATTCAAAACATATCATTGGCTAATAGGCTGGCTCCTCCGTATGAATTGATACCCCTCAAATCCTAGAATCACCCCTATTTCACGTCCATGTTTGCATTCCCTCACTTCTCCCAAAAGACAAAAAGTTGGACGTCGAACAGTGGAGGTGTCCTTCATAGCAAAGCATCCAGCAAGCGAGAAGATCACAGGGAGGGAAGATTTAAGGGGAGGAGGGAAAAAAGAGGCGGTATAGAAATCATTAGTGAAATAATTATGTTAATTAGAGACTCAGGACGAAGACTGTCGCTTGAATAAACAGCCTTTGGGGTATCAGCTTCCTGAAATAACTGCAGTGCGCTAAATAGGGAAAAGCAGTAATTAGGAGAGAGAAGTAAACAATCAGAATCTGGCCACGTTCACACCGGCGGATGCGGTCACGAGGCTTCAGCTTAATGAACCTGATTTATTCTCCTGTTTATTGTAATTGAACTTGCGACGAGGGTTTGACATAAATGCAGAAACTGTGGCAAAGCGCACGGATGGTTTGCGGCACCACTTTACCTGCAGGCCGTGAAGGACATACACACTCGTATGCCGGCCCTCGGCGCATGCACAGACTCCTGGCCCCGTGGCGTCCGCTGGGCCGGCCGCCGAAGCGCTCGCAGAATCTTCCGGAAAAGCCTCGCCTGCATGCGCAGTTGAACATGTTGTCCTGCACGGCAGCCCTACAGGCTCCATTCCCCGCGCAGAGCCGCTCTGACGTGGTTCGGCGACAGCGGTGACCCCTGACCCTGACGACAAGCCTCAGGCCCACCTTACACAGCTCCGGGTCGCCCTCGCGCACCGCCACCAAATGCTGTGTCCCAGGGAGCAGCCATTTTGGATCCACCTCCACAGTCCCCTTGACGTGTCCGGGAAACAGCAGCTGGTCCGCAGGATATCCAGTGGTGGAACAGCTTCTGAAACTCTCCTTGGAGACGTTCATGAGATGAATCCCGTATGATTCCAGAGTGTCATCAGCCAAAACGAGAAGCTTATCCCCGACCTGTAACTGTACGGGGCACATCTGTGGGAACGTCCACAGCGTGCTGGAGAGCTCCTCTTCATGCCCATGTCCTCGAATCCCCCAGCATTCTTCAGGGCTGGAGCACGTCTTCCTGGAGAGCGTCCACCTCACCTCCAAGGTCTGAGGCACCAGGAGCCAATGAGTGGAGGCCTCCGTGTCGCAGACCATCTGTCCTCGGCTTCCCGCGTCCAGCACACAGATGAGCAGAACCAGGAGCCCACGTATGCAGACCTCAACAAGCTCCAGCTTCATTCTGGTCCACATCTTCATTGCCCCCTGATTGGAGTGGAACAACCTCGACAATTTTTGACTTGAAGGATGCCAGTGAAATTTAGCCTAAACTCGAAAAAGACAAATCAGAAATAAATCAAAAACGTAGCAGTCAATTTATTTTCCTCAAACATATTAACAAGATGGGCAAGACTTCATATTCCCAGACAAATTATTTTTGATAGAAAATAAATGAGGTTATTATTTAAGGATACGTCAACCTGCCTCTTAGTTCTCTGGCTTCAAACCGTAACTAAACCCAAGATGGTATCGGCAAACTCTCACAAGATTATATCTGCAACTTGTCATTCGTACGTTTACACAAACATTACCGGAGGTCAAGGAATGCATTTCAAAATCCCTCATTCTGGAATTTTTTTTTCTTCCCCCATCTTAAATTAAATTAGACTGATTTATTGGTTATGCAGTATTTGACCCAAAGCACGTATATTAGCAAAGTAAGCATCTAAGTGAGTGTTTGAGGCGAGCGGCTGTCACATCTCACGCTGTGGGCGAGGGCCTCGTACTCTCAGGATTTCACTTACGCACAGAGATGAGGTTCCCATATGAAACATGCAGATGGTATAACCCAATATGCATGCAGGTAATTAAATAATGTGCCTCTAACAGTTCTGCTTCTGCAGCAACATCTAGGGCACATCAACCTTTTCACTCCAACAGGAATAACAATGTTAAATACACACTGATAACTCGCGGTATAATTCCAGTCTCTATTGTCACTTACTAACTGCTGCCACTGTGACCCAGAACCTTGCTGTCCTACTTCAGACATCACTATTGTTTGTATAATGCATATGTTTCATGCATATTTTATGCAGACTGTACATGCTGTATGTACTTTACTGTTCACTATTCCGTTATTTGCCATTTATTGCCCATCATCACTACATGCCGTTTCAATCTGCAGGGAGGTAAACAAGCAAATATGTTTGTACAAATGACAATCAAGTTTTCCAATCCTTGAGTCGTCAGTCAGCACTGCGCAGATGAACACACATGCGGCGTAACGCCGTATGATTCACCGTCTGTGACGGAGGTTTGCTTTTCCGCTAAAGAAACTTTGCATTACAGCTTTGGCACTAAATAAAAACATCCCAACAGGCTGTCATCCGTCTCAGGACTGTTCCTACAGCAGCACATCTGATTCACAGCCCGTTTCGTCAGCCTGATGAATCGACACGTCCTCTTGTCTGAAATTATACCATAAATGATAACGTCCCTGGCCGTCCGACGGGAGGACAGCAGCCTGGTGCGCCGCCCCGCCCCGCCCCGCCCTTGCAGAGGCTGTCCGCACTCCCAGAGGCCCGGATGGGCGGCCCGCTCAGCGCCGGCGCCTCTGATGTGCTGCGTGGCTCTGCATTCTTCCTGCTCCCCGCTCTGCTGCACAGCTCTGCATTATGCCTGCTCCCCCGGGTCTCATTCTAACCCACGTTCTCCAGATAAAAGAGTGCCGTGAGAAGATAAAGCATTCTCTATCTCTGGGACTGGCAATTCCCACGTCTCCGTCCGCCGGCAGTGACATGAGCGTGACGCTGGCACCATAAGTAATAAATAATCCTCCCGACGACAAGCGCGGGTCCGGCGTGGGCGAGGACGCGGGCGAGAGGGGACGTCAGAGCGGCGATCCCTCAGGGACTATCCAGCACCTTGGTCCGCCATCCAGCCCATCCAAAACGACAGGGGGAAGGAGAGATAATAAATGATGATGACCGCGAAGATGGTGGCCAGGCTGCTTGGCTGACTGTAAGCAAGTTCAAGCAGGTTGAGACTGAATGACGTCCATCCTGGACCCATGGTGCAGCATCCGTGACAGACATTGCATGGCCACAGACAGCGTTTGTGAGGTCATATACATAGTGCAAAAAATCCTGTACAATTATCAATAAGTTAAAGGGAGGGGAGACAGAGGAAAGTCTGTCATAACATAAAACATAACATAAAGAATGGAGAAACAGCCAAAGACCAAGCACACTAGACAACACTGGATCTGTTGTTTAATGTACACATTTCCGCAGACAGTAACGCAGAACGGTAATCTGTCTGTGAAGCGCTCATCATATTACAGCCCACAGCTGCTCAGTCAGTAGCCAACATCCATTAGGGTCCTGTTCTCCCTCCAGGTCATTCCCGGGGGCCTGATCTAATTCCCCACTCCCAGTCTAATTCCTCCGGGAGTCTAGACTCACTAGTCACAGGCCGTAATAAACAGACACTTCTGGAGACCACAGTGAAGAGGAGCAGCGTTGCTCGATTTGTACTAAAATAAATGTCCATTCTATAGCTAGAAAGGAAAGAAAATGCAGTGATATCCAGGTGCTTTTCCTTCTGGAATTCTCCGTTCCTGCTTTCCTTGAACCAGGAGATGGGGGGATCATGACCCCTGCCACATAGAGCTCCTTCCTTATCTCTGCCAGCAGGACCTCTTCCTCCCGGGTCCTCCACCCCAAGCCGCACAGGAGAGAGCTGCTTCCCATCAGCGAGACAGGAATCATAATGACTTGTCAACTCTTTTGGGAGCAGAGGGTGATCCTGCGCATCCTCTCCAGCTCTGTGTGCGAGCATGAAGTGGAGAAAATCATACGAAACATTCCTAGTAATGCAAGATGGAATACCGCCTTTTAACACAGGGTAGGGGGCGCCCAAGGCCCAGGACCTGCTTGGTAACTTCCCAGGCGCATTAACTACAGACATCGCAGGGTAGGGGGCGCCCAAGGCACTGGAGCTGCCCTGGTGAATTAACTCCAGATTTTCCTCTAACTTGACAGATGTATCAGGTCTCCATCCAGGTATCCAGGTCGAAGATGCTAAGTGATAAATTATGAACCAAGCCCACGTCTCCTTAAAGATGCCAGACTCCCCCAGGAAGCACACCCCCCAGTACTGCCCAGGCCATGTAAGCAGGCCTGTAACCATTAGCGATTTCCGACACACATCATTTGGGGAGAAGATCGACACGCCTGGTTTGAGGGGAGATGGGAAAAACCTTCAATGCTTGACCTGCTGCACTCTAAGCGGGGCTGGAAAACGCTGCCGAAAGCGATCCGTGACCAAACGGCCTCGGCGATCGAAGGAGATGCCAGGGGAGTGGGTGGAACGCGGCCTCGGGCGGGGAGACGCTCCAACGTGCCAGAGGGAGCAGAAATGTTCTAGAACATCTGGTTCCAAGCTGAGGAGACTGCCAGAGACAGGGGAGGCAATAGCAGATGCACTGCGACCAACCACTCCCACCACACATTTGTGTGGGACCCCTGAAGTTTGGGGGCCCTCTGTAGGCCACAAATTGTTACTACACTATGCTAAGTGACTTCCTGAATCGGGCCCCAAAACCGTGCATGACACATGACAAAGGGCCACTTTCCATATAGTATCAATACCTTTCTGATCTTAAAACTATAAATAATTCAGAATCATTTAACTCAAATTCTCTTAATAAATAAAGGCAGGCATTTAATGAGAGAGACTAAACTCTATAAATGACAAATTTCACAAACACACCGAGGCCACATTGTTAATTATAGATTTTACTGCAGGCCAAACAGGACGCCCGAAACCGTCTGCTCACCATTTAAAAATCGAAATTATCATTTTTAAATAAGCTACACGATAACAGAATTTCCATGATTAAGTGGATGGCATTTCCGCAATATTTAGAGATAAATGGCCAGCCCCAATCAAAATGACTTTTTCATAGCGATTTTTCGCAATGTGTCATGTTTTATAATTACAACTAATGTCTAATATGCTCTAATGTGTCTAATATAGTCACTAACTTAAACCCAAACTACCTCGACTAGCAGTACATCACTGGCATTAATTTGGTTCATCTGAGTGGAGATCTTCAGGCCTGAAGACCACCATCCACCTCAGTCTAAGGTCAGTGCAGCTCCCCCCCCCAGGCTGAGAGACCGCTCACCAATCTGCTCACAGACAGAATCCCACCCCTCACCCTCTCCAAGGCTCTGCCCTGCGAATGTGTTTATTTTCATTCCCACTTTTCCCAAAGTCCACAGCTGAGCTGTTAAACATCCCCCGCCCCCCCGAAAAATAATATTACCATCTAACCTTGAGAAAGTATGTGCCCAGTGTCCCAGGTTATTCTGAAGCATCAAAACGCAACATTTCAGACAGTCTCTGCCCTCTGCTGTCAACAAGACGTGCCTGTAATGTGATTATTGTTAATCATGTTACGCAACTTTAAAATGCGGATCTACTACATATTCATTACCCATATAAACCCATACATACCAAGTATACTGTAAATATCTTAAAAGTGAGGAATTTCAGCCCACAACCACACTGACGGTTCATACACAGGATGGACTGTCATAACATAAAATATGAATTTGTAATATGTTCAGGTATAAAAGCATAATAAAAAAATACTCCTGATTTTCGAGACTTGCAGCGCTGGTGCCCGGATTTGTAGAGCATAAATCAACAGGAATTGGTTATCAGAGAAAAGCCATAATGACATGTATAATGTGTGCCAAAGTCATTTAAAAGATGAGAACTTAAGCGATGAAAAAAACCGTCTTTCTATGAATCTATAACTCATCCCATGAATAGACCTTCCAAGGACAGCAACACAGAACCTGGATCCTCCAGCATGCAAACACAGTCTCCAAAGGCCGCCCCCCACCCAGGCCCACCCTCAGTCCTGTCACTCAGACTTGCTGGGTTACTCATTTCAGTCTCGCTGCCATCAAAACACGACCCGGCGAGACTAAATGTCAGCAAGTCCCCCGAGGCGGACGGAAACTGTGCCGGGTTCTGGCCCAGGGGAATCCAAAGCTGACGCTCTGAGGTTTTTCCACACCACTGCGGACACAGAGCCAAGGATGTCGGACGCATTACATCAGAAAAGTTTATTCTCCACTTTAAGCCACTCTCCATCAAAGGGATGCAACTAACCCAGTTTTAAACCCACAAAATACCGGTGCTAGAAAATTCAACCCAACCCGGACATATCTAGTGTGGTTCCATCCAAACTAAACCATACAGCATCACAAAGCAGCACACAATCAATAGGAATAATCCATGATTCT